AGTAGTCAGTGCTTAATCCTGCCAGCACTACTCACCGTTAACGTACTCTATCAACCCAAGAACTATGATTGTTGAAGAGTAGTCAGTGTGTAATCCTGCCAGCACTACTCACCGTTAACATTAGATGTTGGAACAGGTACAAATATGGTTTGTGTATGCACTCAGTTGGGTGAATCATTAGAATAGTTGCTCCTGCTTTTTATTTTTTAAATGAGAACTGTATGTAAACTGAGGCCTAACCTTCTGTTATAAAGTTTTTTCTTGATGCTTGTTTAAACAATGAATGATACTTCTAGATAAATTAGCTATAGAACAGTAAACAGTTTAGACCTAGAGAATTAATACACAATGAAACAAATCTAGTTTATGACATGATACCTTAATACTTTATGTTTTATAGACAATATCTGATGCCATGAGCACGCTAGTCCCTCCTGTACCCCTAGAGAACCCGGAGAACCAGTGGCGTGTTGACTATATGCAGGATGTTGCAAGTTCTCTGAATTTTGACTACCCATCGGTAAGTGGATAATTAGCTACTGATTTAGCACACTTAGAATCACTGAAAATAGAGATGTCTCAAAGTTTCATTGCAAAGTCCTTAAGACTTAAATTTGATTACATATTATTGAGTATTAAAGAAACAAAGTAAAGTTACAAGGTACTCGGTAAATGATAGTCGACTGAAAAAAATACTACATTGTTTCTTCCCTAAATGATCTGTCGACAAAGACATTGTCAACTTCTTGTTTTTTTATTGTTGATGAAACCTATTGTGTTGAGACCTATTCTTTGTACTCACTTTGTTCAGTCTGATTTCTAGATGAAACCTGATCTGTTTTTCATGCATTAATCTGACTGATTTTTAGGTTAAATTTTAATCTGTCAGACCCACGTGGATAAAAGCAGTTTCTGAATTAAATTTTACTTATTGTACGTGGTTTGTCATCCTGATTTCTCAACTGAATTTTGCAAGTTGTAATTAGTGGTTAGTCTGACTTTAGAATGATCAGACTACTGTATTTTCAGGGAAGCACTAGTTATATACGTCAATTATTGTAATAAGTAGATCAAGAAAAGTAAGTAATATTTTTATAACCATGGCCAGTTTGTGACACTATAGGAATACACTATTTGAAATTTTAGCAGGAAATGTAAATTTGTTAGGTGTCTTTCCACTTGTAATGGGGGGGGGGTCTTTTTCTGTAAAAAAAAATAGGGTGGCATTATTGTTAAAAATACATTACATTTACCATTGAAACAAAAACAGTTTAAAAGTTTCAACTTATTGGAAAAGTACAGTTAGAACACTTGGCTAGATACAGTGTCAGTAGAACACTTGGTTTGTAACAATATCAGTTGAACACTTAACACAAGCCAAGTGTTCTAACTGACATTGTTATTAGCCAAGTGTTCTAACTGACATTGTTACTAGCCAAGTGTTCTAACTGACATTGTTACTAGCCTAGTTTTCTAACTGACATTGTTACAAACCAAGTGTTCTACTGACACTGTATCTAGCCAAGTGTTCTACTGATACTGTATCTAGCCAAGTGTTTTAATTGACATTGTTGCAAACCATGTGTCCTAACTGACTTTGTTATAAACCAAGTGTTCTACTGGCACTGTAACATGGCAAGTGTTCTGCCATTTTTACAAAAAAATGTCAGTTAGAACACTTGTAAAAATGGCAGAACACTTGCCATGTTACAGTGCCATTAGAACACTTGGTTTATAACAAAGTCAGTTAGGACACATGGTTTGCAACAATGTCAATTAAAACACTTGGCTAGATACAGTATTACTAGAATACTTGGCTAGATACAGTGTCAGTAGAACACTTGGTTTGTAACAAATCAGTTAGAACACTTGGCTAATAACAATGTCAGTTAGAAACACTTGATTTGTAACAATGTCAGTTAGAACACTTGTAAAAATGGCAGAACACTTGGCATGTTACTATGTCTTTTGTTTTTTCTTTATGAGTATATGTAGCTTCTCTCAGCTAGTTTTATGGTCAAATTTAGGATGGGGGTAGTTGTAATTCTTTCATAATGAACTATGACCGACTCACATCTGATATTGATTTCTGCCTAATTATTAAAGAAAGATTTATTCATTGTATATCTGTATTGAACTTCCTTGACATCTGATGCAAAAGTAGTAGAGGAAACAGGATTAAGTTACTTTTCTTAGAATAATTGGAGTACGTTTACGAGATTAAAATATGTTGAATTTTTCATTTCTTAAGTACAACCAATTGTAGTGTTTTTAAGATTGTGTGTGTGAACATCTCTAGTATATTAGCATCACACTTAAGGGTTACTCGGTAGCACTGGTGTAACACAAGTTGTTATAACAACTACTACCTTAGAATAATGCTAATGTGTTAAACGAGTATCTTTTTAGTAACTGTTACTTCAGAGTGACACTAGTGTACAAACAGTTATAGTGACTAGTATTATAGAATTACATTTGTGTTATGATGGTATACCAATCCCAAGGGCATGTAATATTATAGAACAGCATGTTTTAGGATGTTTATATTAGCACCGATGATATGTCTTAGAGCCACATTATTAATATTATAGAACAGCACGTTTTAGGATGTTTATATTAGCACTGATGATATGTCTTAGAGCCACATTATTATTCTGTAATATTTTACACCAACTAATGATACTACATTTATATTTTACAGCAGCCTAATTATATGTTTTATGTCAGATTAGTGCTATTGGTATTACATACATGCTTTACAATAGCAATAAATAAAATCTATATTTTATATTACAGGGTGATCTAATGAGAGATACCCCACTGATTTCTTTTGGGAAGAATATAATACACTTAGGACAAAAATGTACATTACTGAAATAGAATACTTGGTTTATAACAATGTCAGTTAGAATACTTGGTTTATAACAATGTCAGTTAGAATACTTGGTTTATAACAATGTCAGTTAGAATACTTGGTTTATAACAATGTCAGTTAGAATACTTGGTTTATAACAATGTCAGTTAGAATACTTGGTTTATAACAATGTCAGTTAGAATACTTGGTTTATAACAATGTCAGTTAGAATACTTGGTTTATAACAATGTCAGTTAGAACACTTGGTTTGTAACAATGTCACTTAGAACACTTGGCTTGTATCAATATCAGTTAGAATACTTGGCTTGTAACAATGTCAGTTAGAACCTTGGTTTGTAACAATGTCAATTAGAACACTTGGTTTGTAACAATGTCAGTTAGAACACTTGGCTTGTAGCAGTATTATAGTTTGTAACAATGTCAGAACACTTGGCTTGTAAAAATATCAAATAGAACACTTGGCTTGTAACAATGTCAGTTAGAACACTTGGCTTGTAACAATGTCAGTTAGAACACTTGGCTTGTAACAATGTCAGTTAGAATACTTGGTTTGTAACAATGTCAGTTAGAATACTTGGTTTGTAACAATGTCAGTTAGAATACTTGGTTTATAACAATGTCAGTTAGAATACTTGGTTTATAACAATGTCAGTTAGAACACTTGATTTGTAACAATGTCAATTAGAACACTTGGTTTATAACAATGTCAGTTAGAACACTTGGTTTGTAACAATGTCAGTTAGAATACTTGGTTTGTAACAATGTCAGTTAGAATACTTGGTTTATAACAATGTCAGTTAGAATACTTGGTTTATAACAATGTCAGTTAGAATACTTGGATTATAACAATGTCAGTTAGAATACTTGGTTTATAACAATGTCAGTTAGAACACTTGGTTTGCAAAAATGGTATTCAAAAACTTTAGTATATGCTTCCAATAAAAATCAGTGGGGTATCTCTTGTTTGATCACTCTGTAGATGAACATAAACTGTAGATTTTAGGTCAGGTGCGAGCACTGATAGTATAACACATATGTATTGTAATAGCACTAAATGTGAGTTTTGTATAAGATCAGCACTAATGATATTGTGATATCGTTGGTAATACAACTTGAATGATAACTAGCTGCTCCATTTTGTCAGTAAAAAAAAAAAACATCTGAATTTTCAAACCAACCCTAACTTTAGTTTTATTACTGCAGGAGTTCTATCAACATACAGAAGCCCTCTGGAAAGACAAGGGAGTGCAAGCTGCATATGAGAGGTCCAATGAATACCAGCTCATAGACTGTGCAAAATAGTAAGTTTTGTCTTAAAATTGAGACTGAGGCTTCAGTAAAAAAGCCAGAAGATCAAATCACTGTCAAAGTTTTGGGTAATTACACACTAAATCAATTTCTAGAAAGTTGAGGATCTTGGTGCAATGAAACAAATTCAGGCCTTCTTAATACGAGTCTCGCTATATTAAAATTACATGTACTTCTAGTTGAGTTCAAATATGTATAAATCGAACTATAGCATCCTAGGTGTCCATTAAAAGCTTTGAGCTTCTATCTTAGTCAAACCTCAGGATCCCAAAAAAGTCCAGTTAGAAATAGTTGTTCTATTATATTCATTGTGCAGTAATAAAATTAGTTACAAATACAGTTTGGTTGTGTCTGTATTGAAAAACTACTTAAAAAAGCATTATTACTTTTATGTACAGTTTTCTAGAAAAATTTTATAAATTTAAAAAAATGTGTGTAAAAACATTATTTTTTTTCCAAAGAAGAAATATTAATTCATCCTTCTCTCTAATCTAAGAAATTATTATTTTTTCATAACAATGAAACTAGTACAGATCTTGCAGCTGACACGAAACATTAATAATTGATCTTAGTGGGATATTTATAATGTCTTAAATATAACCTTATAAAGTTATATCACAAAACTCTAACAGGCATGTAAAACATCACAGTAAGGTTATAGTTTTCACCATGTATCCAGTAGGTGTTTCCAACCAGGAGCAGGAACTAGTAGTATTTTTAGATTGGTTTTCCTAAGCTGCCGTCTGTGGGTTAAAACACGAGCTCATCAGGCTAACTGGGTCATCTTGATCAAAACCATAACTGATATGTTATTTAAAATATCTATGTTAGAAAACATAGTTGAACCTGTTGGAAGTGTAACATTACAAAGTAATAGTAGCTTGTAATAGTTAATTATACTTTATAACAAACATTGTTTACATGTTTTGAAACTAAAGTTAAATAGATATTTTTTTTGTACAGGACTGAACTGAATGTTCAGTAGTTTTATTAACATCTGTGTTGTGGTTTTAACTTGGTTTGTAGTTTTAATGGTACTAAGATGACTGTATTTTAATCAAAGTAAAAAACTAAACCTCGACTCTATTTCTTTTCAGTTTCCTGGACAGAGTGAGTATAATCAAACAGCCGGATTACACTCCAACTGAACAGGTAATTATCCAAATGTGTTTTAACTAGTTTGTTCTACATGTTGAAAATACAAAGACAAAATAATTTTAATTTTTTATAGTTGGAATTAAATCTATCCTTTTTTCTCCTACAGCATCATCCACTGATGTAGATATAACTTTTAATGCTAAATTTCTCAAAGGAATCTAGCTCCCCACCCCACCCCAGTGGCTCAGAAATAAGTCTCAAGTCTCATAGTGCTAAAAACTGGGTTTCTATACTACAGCACAGATAGCTTATTGTGTAGCTTTGTGCTTAATGACAAACATACAAAAGAATAAAAAAAATGTCACTGTTAAAAAAATTATCCACTCAAATTACCCTTCAAATAAAATTTTATCATAGATTTTTGTCTTGATTTTTAGAAAAGTTTCTTTTCTCTTTGCACGTAATCTTTGACAAGTTCAACTTATTATGAATCACTTGGGTCTTTGATTATTGATCATAATTGGAACTAAATTATTTAGATTATGTGAGTGAAATAATGACTGGGCAAAGGAAAATTTTGTCTGCATTATTTGAACATTTTTCATGTTATTAAATTATATTGCTGTTCGATTGCAGGTTTTCCCAATGATCTTAACAGAAATAACTTAAGTGTTGTTCTGTTAATATTCCCTTAAATATTAGAGGTGGTGACACTTGTGATCTTTGTTCATTTTCATTTTATGTCATCTTCTGTCACTGTCCAAAAACAATTAAGTATGGATAGTTTTCGTTACATTATTTTAGTTTTCATTTTTTGGAGACAGGATCAGCTATTGAACGTAGTCTTAAAAAAAGCCTTACTAGGTATAGTTATAAAACAACTAAAATATATTAATTATAACATTAACTGTGTTGCAAGAGTTTAATATGACATAATTATATTTAAAGTACTTGTATTACATTAGTTGTTGGTCAGTGAAAAAAAAAAGCTTTGTTTAAATTGAGATGTTTTCTTCCTCGTTGGTGAAAGATGAAATTCCATTCATGTTTGTTACTCATCCACACATACTTATTTCAAGCTTCACTAGCTTCGTGCTCGAGTTTGTTGGCACCAAATAAAGTTGAGATTATTTACAGCTTAGCTACTTTGCTGTGGTTCTTTTTTTTTTAGTTTGTTTATTCTGTTATCCTGTATTAAAAGAATTTTTTGTATCCCAATTTAAGTTTATTGTATAATTTTGTCTTGTTCTATATGGTATTGTTTTTTTACATTGTAACAATGTTACTGAAATATTTTGAATGGAAATTCATGCACAGTGAGTCTTTAATTTTATGTTTGAGTCTAGGTTTTTGGTACTTAATTGAGTTGTTCTAAATAAACATGTATCCTGATTTAAGTATAATTGTGTCTTGTTCTATAGTTGTTCTAAATAAACTTGTATCCTGTTTTAAGTATATTGTATAATTGTGTCTTGTTCTATAGTTGTTCTGAATAAACTTGTATCCTGTTTTAAGTATAATTGTGTCTTGTTCTATAGTTGTTCTGAATAAACTTGTATCCTGTTTTAAGTATAATTGTGTCTTGTTCTATAGTTGTTCTGAATAAACTTGTATCCTGATTTAAGTATAATTGTGTCTTGTTCTATAGTTGTTCTGAATAAACTTGTATCCTGATTTAAGTATAATTGTGTCTTGTTCTATAGTTGTTCTGAATAAACTTGTATCCTGATTTAAGTATATTGTATAATTGTCTTGTTCTGTAGTTGTTCTAAATAAACTTGTATCCTGATTTAAGT